AGCTGAAAGCCTTTGCGAACGTCCGACCACTGTTGACCAAGAGCAGACACTCAGTTCTCGCATCGGGAACGTCGGAGCTCTGGAACGCACGTTCTGGGGGTCGTCAGGGTCGTCGGCAGGTTGAGGCCACAACACTGTCGTCCCGTCAGCGGTCAGCTTCAATTTCTTCGAAATCTCTTCTCCAAACTCTACTTTCGCTTCCCTGTGAAAAATCAATCGCGAGTCGTCACATAGAACTCGAAGATGCAGATGAAGACGTAAGCTGAAGACGTACTCGGGATCGACGACAAGCCGTCCGGCGTTATTCTCGTAGTAGGCGACGAAATCTAGCTGCTCGATCGAAGCAGTTACCTTGGCCTCAAAGTCCAGCTTCGCGCTATCTGAAGGCGACCCGGGCACTAGCACGGACTGAGGCTCAGGCATGAAGGGTAGATGGAGCGCAGCGGTATCTTTCCACGAAATCCGGCTCTAGCCTACATAACATATCGGCGGCGCCGAAAACCAAGAGCCTTCTTATCTAGACCCCCAGCTGCTGTGTCCCATGACACTTCATGTGAGAACATAGTTCACGAAGCGCACCCTGTGAGAGAATGTCAGACGCTAAGTGGTGGGTGACCACCGACCACTACACCTAGCTCATTCTCGCCCACATCACGTGCATCATAAGCGCCAATAAGCGGGAGGTTTTTTTTGAGAGCGAGAGAGAAATCTGACCCCGAACTAACCAAACGAGACTTGAGATCTTGAGAGCCTATCTATCCTCGACTGCATGCCGAGGCAAAATGAGGAAAAAACTGGTGCAAAGTAGCCTAACGCACCTCCTCGAGTGAAACCGGAGAAACTCAGGTCCTTAACAGCTTGGAATGGCGTGATCATCCAGTGGTAGTCGCTGGAGTACCTGACGCTGGCCAAACGATGTCCTTCGAGACAACTCTAGGCACGTCATTCGGACGGTCTTGAAGCCCCAAGCAACTATTGTGGGCCGGTTAACCGAGCTTTCAGTCGTACAACCGGCCTATTTCAGCAAATCCATACTGTGACCATGGGCGTATACAGCAGCATATACCAGAAATCAACTACATGCCCTCTGGGGAAGTATCTGAGTCGCAAGGGCGACATTTAAATCTGAAAGCCCTCTCGCTATATCGAGAACCGGCTCTAGAAGTATTTTCAGCAGTGCAAAGACCCACCAGCTCAGATCATATCACTCACCCTCAGTACTCTTCCTTTCAACTGCAGCGCAGGAACAATAAGCAAGAAAAGCGCCGCAACTACAGCTGCTTCGCATCCAAATGTTTGTAAAGCTCCGTGCTTGAGTGCCCAGGGGACTTGAAAGTATGACACGCTGAAGCCCCCCAGCGTTCGTGCTAGGTTCAGCATGGCCGACATTTCGCCCTATATCTCATTTAGCACTGCATTGATGACGCAGGAAGCTCTGGTTCATGCCTTGAATCTGGGGAATGAATCATTGAGGTAGGCATCTACCACTTTTCAGCTAGTTATCATAATGCTAAACCACTTCTTACTTACAGACAACCGTGGTATTTATCATGGTAGCGATCTCAACGAGGCCCCATCCGATGATGAAAGCCGCGATGCTGATATGCTTCTGCAATCCAGCGCCCAGCAGTATCATGCCGCACGTGTAGAATACCACAGCGATGTAGCATGCCCTATGCCATATCAGCGGGAGCAATATGCACACTAGAACGGAACCTACCAAAGCCGACTTTCAGCCTCGAACACGCCGCTGTTCCTACGGATTGAAAGGTGCATAATCCAATCGTTGATATAACGGCCGAGTAGCTCTCCTAGGATGACTCCTACGATGGGAGTCGCATAGCATCCTGCAATGCGTATCTGGTCAAAGCCATATCCTACAGGCGGTGACTGGCTTAGGAAGACGTTATTCGTTGCCTGAAGGGCGCGTCAAGCTCTTTCAGCTCGTATTCTCATCCTCAAAGGCGCACATACGTTGGTGCCTATACTGAACCCAAACAGCATAGCCTGGCCGAAGTCAGCGCAAATTAAAGGGCAAATACTAGCATAGATAACCGCGCTTACCTCAAAAAGTAGAATACCGAAGACATGCGGCCTCCATGCTAGGTGCACCCAGATGATAGACACGTCCTTCCATGATGCCCTGAGTTTCGCCATGCGAGCGCCAACAATTCCGATCAGGAGCTCAAATCTCCTTCGGACCCAGGACTTCGGCAGAGGATACGGTCTAGAATCCTTCAGGGTACGGTCATACATCCTACGAGATTTGCTCGTCAGAACCTATTAGAGAGCCATAAACAAGGCCGGGCGTACGTCTCTTCGCCGAAAAGCACAATCAGCGCGAGGACTACAGCACCGTACATACAAGCAATACCATAGCACCAGCGCCAGCTGATTATATCACTTATTATTAACCTTCGTAACCGAAGAGAAGAGGAAACCATACTTGGCTCTCGCTACCAGGAATCCGAACGCCATGGGAGAAAGGAATGGAGAGGCAATAAACCCCATTGTCCAAATGTTCAGCTGGTGAGAAATAGACTGTGAGGAAGTGCATGCTCGACATGCCTTGAATCAACTTACCTTGCGGGCTTGGAGATGGAAGGGAAACATATCGGTGATAACATATAGACCCTGCGGTTAGAGACTTAGTACCGGAAAAACGCACTACAGATATCGGATCATACAGTCACTTGAAGCGTCGCCCTTTTGCAACGGCTTTCGTTAGCCAGAAATACCTGGCAGTTGGTAGGACCCACCCGAAAAATCCGCTCAGACATCGCATGGCTAAATGAGCACTTGAACAGCATATTCCCAGTAATCTAAGCGGGAGACGTACCAGCGAAAGTGGGCAGATCCTGCGAGAATGTGTTACCAAACAGGAAGGCCAGCGAGAGAGTCTGGGACCAGAACAAAACCGGCAGACGCCCATACCGCCTGATGAGCATAACGGCGAATATACCGCCCCACCCTGCAGATATGAGTTCAGTGATTAGATGTGCGTTGGAAAGAACACACCGATTAGAAATATGCTCCAGCTATGCGACCAGTGAGGAATGAACAACAATTTTTAGCATTGAATACAAACTTCAACGTTAGGTCGTTTATCTCTCCTGTCGTGGTCTTGAACTGCCTTGCGATGGCAAAGAGAGCAGCAGTCCCTGTACAACAACGTGAGACGGTGAAAAATCGGCCACAATATACAGTTTTCGCTCACCTATACCGTTGTCGAAATCGGGTACAATAGCGGCTAGAGTGATGATGAAAAGCTGAAAGCCTTTGCGAACGTCCGACCACTGTTGACCAAGAGCAGACACTCAGTTCTCGCATCGGGAACGTCGGAGCTCTGGAACGCACGTTCTGGGGGTCGTCAGGGTCGTCGGCAGGTTGAGGCCACAACACTGTCGTCCCGTCAGCGGTCAGCTTCAATTTCTTCGAAATCTCTTCTCCAAACTCTACTTTCGCTTCCCTGTGAAAAATCAATCGCGAGTCGTCACATAGAACTCGAAGATGCAGATGAAGACGTAAGCTGAAGACGTACTCGGGATCGACGACAAGCCGTCCGGCGTTATTCTCGTAGTAGGCGACGAAATCTAGCTGCTCGATCGAAGCAGTTACCTTGGCCTCAAAGTCCAGCTTCGCGCTATCTGAAGGCGACCCGGGCACTAGCACGGACTGAGGCTCAGGCATGAAGGGTAGATGGAGCGCAGCGGTATCTTTC